GAGTTCACAACCACCACCTTTTGAAAGTAATGGTATAGATTGAAAATAGTTACAACTTAAGGTCTAAGAAAAGATAGTGATAATTGACTTAAAAAGTAATCTTGATGGGGCCTCCCTGGTGGTGCAGCAGTTGGGCACTGGGTTGCGAAGCTGCCCACAGCCTCTGCAGTGCTGGTTCGATCCCCAGCCACTGGCGAGGGTCCCACATGGCACGCAGACCTCTCCTGCCGCCCGCTGCTCCCCTCAGCAGTGTATTTCGTCATTCTGCCTGCTCTGCTCTCCCCTCTGACTCTGGTGAAGTCTCTCACCCTCCCTCACTTCTGACTGTACCCAGTGCTTGTATAAATAAATAAATAAAATCTTTAAAAAGAAAAAAAGTAATCTTGATGAAGGAAATAATGAAGGAAAATATTACTGATTTTGTGCCTCCATTTTGCTTTTACAAAAAATATGCAAAGTCAAAATATAAACAAAGGGAAAGTTTCTACCACATATGAGAAAACATGGGCTTCTCCTTATTTTACAAAGAGCTTGTCATATCAGCAAGAAAGAGGTAAATGATTCTATTGAAAAATAGATTAACAACAGTTAATGACAGTCAGCAGTTCAATGACAATAAAAATGCAAGTAGATATCACACATGGGACAGCTCTCTCAGTTACATTCATAAAGAAATACAAATCAAAATGATGGTGCCGTGTAAATGATCATCTGTGTAACTCTGACACCAAATAAATTGACACAATCTAGTATGGGTGAGGTTTGCCTGGAGGTCTGGCGGGAAGGTAAATTTGCACAACATTTTGGTGCACAGTATCTGTCAAGATGTAAAATGCATTTCCTTTGCCAGTCAATTTTATTTTATGGCTATATTTTAAGTACATTATCTCTCTATCCTCTGTATTAATATTTGTATCATCCATCTAATCTTACCTATTTCTGTGCCTATTTATAGCAGCATTACTTATAAGGCAAAAAAAACTGAAAAAGACAGGGGAGAGCTAAGTAAAACTCCCAGGTCCATAAATAAGAGACTAGATAAATTAAGGCGTATACATATTATAGAATATTTTGCGGTTATTAACAGAATGAGATAGATGAATATAGGCTGACATGGCAATTTCTGCAAGTCATATCACTACTAAGTAAAAAGCAAAATTCAAAGCCATATCCACAGACACACAGAAACACAGATGTGGGTATATATGTGCATGCAGGTGTGCTTCATATTTCTGTGTGTATATGTGTATATTGATGATAGTTTCATGTGGGTATGAATTTGAAGATTTGTAGAATCATCTTTGTGTATCAGAAGGATGTTTAAGGGGAAAGGTTCTGAAGGGAATGGAGTTTGTTTGTGGGGGTCAAGATGCCCTTCGGTCTGAGTCAGTCCTTAGCTCCAGGAAATCTGTGATTGGGGAGGTAGATCCTTTTGGGCTGTGAGGTTGGTTTCAATTGACATGAAATTGAAGCACACATTACAGTCTGTTACATATTATAGTATAGCCTTTTTATTAGACACCAATTCTAGGGTTTCGTTTTAACTTTGGGGAGTATCTATACCTGACGAACAAAGCAAACCACACACACCCAGGTGAGTTTCATTGTCAAAATCATTGAAACTGGGGCCTCCCCAAAGGTGCAGCGGGTTGAGCGCAGTACTGTGAAGCTGTCCGCAGCCTCTGCATTGGGTTCGATTCCTGGCCGGCCAGGGAGACACCCACATGGCGCGGCAGACCTCACCCGCCTCGCCTGCTGCTCCCCTCAGCACTGTTTTCAGTCTGATCTGCCTGTTGTGTTCGCTGCTCTGTCTCTGGTGAATCCTCTCACCCTCCTGCACCTCTGGCCTGTACCCCAGTTCTTGTATAAAAATAAATAAATCTTAAAAAAAAAAAACATTGAAACTGGCTTGGATCCACCTGGCAGCAAGGTGGTGAAAATAGGTCCACACCTCGCTACTTACTGATTGACTGAGCATCTCTACTTTCAGACTTTGTGGGGAGGGGTATACTTTGCACCTTTGTCTCTTGGTTTCTGATGTGCATCTCCTGTCTTGGCCTCTTGGAACCCAGACACATGGAAGGAAGCCGCCACAACTTGGGCCTTCCAGAACGTGGTTCCTGAGATTCTACCAACAATGCCTGAGCGTCCAAAGAGCACGTCCACAGGGCAGTCCACAGAGAGGGCTTGGGAGACATTACTGCCTTGAAAAAATTAAGTTTGCAGGAGCATATTTAGTTTTGTCCAGTGTCCCTGAAACTCTTCAAAGGGTGCTTGTCTTTGCTCTAGAATGGCAAGGAACATTTTTTTTCCCCAAGAAGTAAAACAGGACTAAGACAAAAAACATCTGGTGTCTGTTACTTTTATAATAAATGGAAAATAGGTTATCTTTGTTTTACACTGACCCACAGAATGACAAAAATCAAGATTTTATATTTTTGATAGGAAAGTTTCTATTGCTGCAAAAAGTTTCAAAATTGTTGCACTGTCGTAAGTCACAAAGATAGGATTTAGTTAAAAAGTAAATTTGTTTTTTTCCATCCTTCCTCCCTCCCTCTATCCCTCCCATGTCCTCCTTCCTTGTCTCTTCTCCTTCCTTCCTACCCTTGACTGCCTTTCACTTGCGTGAGGACACGTTATCCATCTCCACATGGAAGACTGCCTGGGCGTTTCCCCTCTTCCTTCCTGAGGGAACCCCGATTACGTTGAATAATATAGTAACTCTAGGGAACATCTCACAGTTGGCTCCAAGTGCACGAGTCCATTCCCTTACCAGGGGTGGGTCAAGGAGAAAATGTATGACCCGGTGTTGGCCAGCGTGTGTGAGAGGAATTCTGCTGGTGCTACTTGGAAAGAAAGGGGTAAGAATAGGCTTTTTGCTTCTCTCTCCCTTTTTCGGTTGTGACTATTGGGCTGTCCCATGACGCCTGCAACTGGGGCAGCCGTCCTTCCACATCCCAGGGTGCTCCCTTGGCCCAGAGCCAGTGATAGCAGAGAAGAGGACAGAAAGAGCCTGGGATTGGAGCAGTCCCAGCCTTCTCGAGCATTCCTAAGTAAACTAGAATTTTCCTAATGGTTGAAGTCAGGTGTTTCTGTGACTTGTAGCCACAAAAGCATTTCCCTGTACACCTGGGCTCTAAAATCAAGTGGAAAGCTCTACTACATTAAATAGAAAAGTAGTCGTGTTAATTATGATGACAGAATATGATCAAAGAGCTTTGGCTGCACCCAAGACTGATAGTTGCACTGCTGGAAGGGGCTGGGGAGAGCGCCCCATTCTGCCTCCCGGGAGGAGGAGAGGGTGTGGTGAGGCATCTGTGGTCACTGCTAAATCAGCCTGAGCAAGTTTTTTTTAATTTTTTTAAAGATTTCTTTATGCGTACAAGAACTGGGGTACAGGCCAGAATTCTGGGGGGTGAGAGGATTCACCAGAGACAGCGGGGAACAGAACAGGCAGACTGACTGAAACACAGTGCTGAGGCGAGCAGCGGGGAGGCAGGAGAGGTCTGCCGCGCCATGTGGGCTGCTCCCTGGCCGGGATGGAGCTCGCGCTGCAGAGGCTACGGACAGCCTCACAGCTTGCGTGTTAACCCCTCGCGCCCGCAGGGAGGCCCTGAGCAAGTTTTTAAATCCAAGTAGACCCGTTTTGCTGTTTTGGTGGCTTCCTGGCGTTTCCGCGGGCGTATTTTTGGAGAAGACAGGCCTATTTGCCTCCGTTAGAGCTTGATGTTCCAACCTGTCGCCGCGGGCCTGCGCAGTGGGCGTGGCCGCCCCCACCTGCGCGCCCCACCTGCCGCACCTGCATGCGCCCCCTGACCACGCATGCGCGCAGTGCAGTCGCGGCGGCGGCGCCCCCGCCGGCTTCCCGGACCTTGGGGGGCGTGGGGGTGCGGGGACCCGGTCTCTCTAGACGCAGCGGGAGTCCTCGTCCGTGCGGTTACCGGGGTCGCCTCGGGCCGGCAGGGGAGGAGCGAGCCGGGCGGGGGGCGGGGCCGTCGTGGCGGGGCCGGGCTGCGCGTCCTTTGAACAGACACCCCCGCGGCGGCCGCGGACTCGACGCGAGGGGGGAGGTGCGGGCCGCGGGCGAGAGGAGGGCGGCGTCCCCCCAGGTCCAGTGCGCAGACACGGTGGGGGCCGTGTCGGCGGCTTCGCTGTGGGAGGAGTCACCCCAAACCCCCTGGCTTCGGGCAGCGCCCTGCTCCTGCGTCTGCCGGCCACGGGGGGACGGCGGGGTCCCCAGCGCCTCCCGGCAGCGTCTGGGCCGAGCTCGCCCGCGGCTCCGGCCAGGAGCCCCCCGCGCCCCCGACGCGGCCAGGCCTGACGGGCCCACGGAGCTGCGGGCGGGGCCGGCGGGGCCCGAGGCGGGGCGGGGGACACGCCGGAGCGCGGGGGGCGGGCCGCGTCCCCGGAGCCGCCCACGCCGCGGGGTCCCGGGAGACGGCGGGGGGCGCGGAGGGGCGGGGTCTGCGGCCGCCCCAGGTCGTGGTTTGCGCGCTGGGAACCCCGGGGCGTCTGAGGGAGGAAGGGGCTCCCCTGTTTCAGGCTCTGGCCGGGCGGCCCCGCTGGGCCCATCGCAGCCTCCCCGGAACTGGGGCGACGTCTGGGGAGTGTTGGGGTTTGTTTTTGCGGGAGGGGGGGGGCGTGTCGCGTCCTCGCGGGCTGCGGCTCGGGCTCCGGAGGGAGGCGGGTAAGTGGACCCGAGAAGCGGGGCCCCCCCATCCGCTGACGCCCTGCGGGCCGCGGCCGCTCGCGGGGTCACAGTCTCCGGGAGGCCCCGCATCGCCGGGGTGTCGCGAGGCCCCCTCCTGCCGCTCGGGTGTGCTGGGGCGCGGCGCGGCCGGCAGGGGCTGTGCGGGGAGGTGAGGGGCGGACACGAGGACACCCGGGCCCCGCGCCCCTCCCAGCCTGGAGCTCGCGGGGGGGGGAGGGGCGCAGCAGGGGAGGGCGCGGCCGAGCACGCCGGCCGCCCGGTCACTCACGGCCTCTCTCTGTGCCCCCAGACCTGCCTGCTCCGGACGCGCGTTCCCCCAGGCCCCGGGCCCGAGGACTCCCAGGTAAGGGGGCGCCCGCGCCCTCCCCTCCGCAGACGCCCCGCCCCGGGAACCCCGCCCCGTCTGCCCAGGAGGCCCCCACGGGACAGGACGCCGGCTCGGGTCCCCGGGGCTGATGCAGCGGCCTCTTGGTCCCCGCAGCCCTCGCGCACGAGGCCTCGGCCCAGTAGCCCCCCCCCCAGCCCCTCATCTCTGCACCCGGCCGTCCCCTCCCCCGCCCCTCCAACCCCGACCTCGTGCTCCCCGCGCCCCCACCCGTGTGGACCCAGGTGGTCCCTCAGCCGTCCCCCCGCGCCCCCCACAGTGCGCCCTTGCTGACCGTGGGGAGGCGCCGCCGAGCACGTCCTCAAGACGGTCTTGGGGGCACAAGCCCTGGGCGTGAGGGGTCGGGCTGCCCGCAGGCGCGTGTCCAACCCCTGCCCCGCGCAGGCGCCCCCGCCTCTCGCTGGACCCGGCTCTGATGTTCGAGTCACAAAGGGACTTGGGGCGGGGAAAGGCCGGCCCGGGGGTGCGGACGGACATGACTCCATGGGCTTGTTCTGGCTGGGGCCTCCTGGAGAGGCCAGAGGCAGGGCCGGGGGGGGGGGGGCGGGGGGTTGGCGGGGGGTGGGTGACGGGGGGTCTCCTTGGCGCTGCAACCGCGGCCTTTGCTGCAGGAGGGCCGCGGGGGGTCCGGGCAGCGAGGGGTGTCCTGCCTGCTGCGTCCACGGCCCCTCGTGGCCTCCTGTGCGCGCGGGGGGCTCGGGGTCAGAGGGGAGCCGAGGTGGCTCGGGTGAGGTGGAGGGAGAGTGTCGGGGGGCGAGCGGCCCCAGTGCACCCCACCCCGCACGGGAGGGCGCGGCAGGGCCAGTGCCTGCTGTGAGGTTGGGTCCCCAGCTCCGTCCCCCCGGCCCCTCCCGAGGCGCAGCCACCCCCTGCGGGCGGCCTCCTTCCAAGAAGTGGGGGGATCTGCGGCCGTCCCAGGCGGGTGGGTTCTTCGTGGGTTCAGGCAGCGGGAAGAGAATGTCGGAGCCGGCGTCACCCCGCAGGTCAGGGACAGAGGCCCGCAGGGAGTCCCTGCGCTCTGCGCCGCGCCCTCTCGTGGCCGCCCTGTGTCCCCGTCCCTGGGCCCAGGCCCGCCCCGCCCCGCCCCACCCCACCCCACCCTGGGCTCCACCACCCGCCGCACCTCCCCCCTCACCCCCACCCCTTGCTGCCTGCATGCGGGGGTGGCCCCGAGGCCAGCGGCGTGAAAGCTGGTGCCCTCTCCTCCTGCGGGGAGCTGAGCCCCACCCGGCCCCGGCTCCCAGTGACAGCCACAGGGACAGGCCGTCGGGTCACAGGAGCTCAAGCGCGGTTCCTGCCCCGCGTTACTGGGGAGAGGCTTCCTGCGGAGAGCAGGACACAGGGTTGAGAGTGGGGAAGCTGGGCAGCCTCGGGTGGAGGAGGGCCCGAAGCAGAGACAGGGGACATTGCGGGGAGCTTTTGGGGTGGGATGGAGGGATTTGGGGCTACTGGGGTCCATAAAGGGCAAGAAGCCCGTGCACTCCCCGGGGAGAGGCGGGAGCCAGACGCAGCTCAGGAGAGGGTTCGGTGGAGAAACTTGGGGTCAGAACGGCCTCTAGCCTGGCGAGCCTTGCTAGTGGGGAACACGCGGAGCCGCCTCTTAGGGACAGTCTTCCCTTCCCTCTGCCAGGGCGCGGGAGATGGAGTGACCCTCGGCCCCCCAGGCAGCGTGGTGTAGCAGGACCGTGTGGCCGCGCCCTGTGCGGGGCACCCGGGACACAGCTTGTGTATCTGTCACCAGGTCGCGTCCTCCTAATCTTGCAACAGCTCGGCACACGTGCTGAGCCATCCCTGCGCCTAATCCTCATCCTGCAAGCAGCCCCCCTCAGCCGTTGTCACCCCCTCTTCTGTCTCAGGGCTTCCTGGAGTGCCCCAGAGTGCCCCAGCAGATGGCCATCGTCCTGGTGGAGCACAGCACTACCGCCACTGAGGGTTCTGGGCGTCCGTGAGGAAGTGACTGGGCCAGCTGAAGGACAGGCCACTGAGGCTGACCATGTGCCCTCCTAACACCTGTTGGGACATATCTTTTGTTGCATTTGTTTTGGTGAGGCTTTGCACCCATGTCCCTGAACGAAGTCATCATCTATGCAAACGTTTTCTATCCTTCTTGGTGGGTGGACAGTGCTAGTAGCTTCCTGACCTGTGTCCTTGGGGCGTAGGATACTTCTCCACATACTGAACTGCCGTCTTGTTTCTGGAGGAGTCTCGTTTCTGTCGAGTTTGGGGTCGTGGCTGAGGACTCACTTATCTGCTTGTAGAGTCTGTTCCTTGACATTTGGAAAGAGGCCGCTGCTGAGGGATCATGTCCTGGAGCAAAGGAGGGCCCACTCCTGGCTCCAGTGCACCTGTTGTAGTTTTTTATTCATCCTGATGATGGATTTTGTTGCTAGAAAATCCTGCCACTCAGCCGTTCCCATGTTTGCCTTAATTTATGTTACCCTTCCCTTTTTGGGTCATTTGTAAGGGAGCAGTTTACGCTTGCTTTTTGCAAAGAAACAGCATCACGATGGATTTATATGCATTTCCCTCCAGTTTGTGCAATGTGTTTCCCATTATTAGGTCTTGGGTTTGAAAAATTTGTTTCTACTCCTTGTGTCAATGTTGGGGTTGACTCCTTTGTGTTCTCTGACAAATTATGCAGTGCTAGAACCAGCTTCAGCAGCTTCCTGAAGTTGGATGCCTGGTGTTTTTTATGTCCCACCATCCTGTTTCTAAAGCGCAATGACTGGACTGAATCAAAAAGTCATTTTCTTTGATTCTGGCCTTGTGAAGGGAATGTGGCCTCTTTGCTGCGGTCTGTGTGCATCATGACCAGTGGGTGTGTGTGTGTCGCAGACATTTGAGGGTGATTTTTATGTTAGATCCCAAACGTATCACAAAAGGTGCGTGGATGATTATTTTTCTATTTTTTGCTCTGAGCTGTGACTGGAGATGGAAATAAAGCGTCGTTCTGCCGAGAATATGGGATTCACGGAAAAAACCCCAAATGGTAAAAGTGAGTCCCTGGCCTTTTCCTGATAAATGCTGGAAAAATGAGCACATACAGGTTTGAAATGTGGGATCTAAAGGAAAAGGACACAAATCTGAGCAGGGCATCCAGTTGCATCCCACCCTGTCACCCCTACCTGAACAGGCCATCTGGTCAACCCAGCTGAATGCCTGCCATGGTGGGTGTGCCAGCCAACTGGTCAACCACACCAGACCACATACCACCATCCTTGGCCCCCCCAGAAACCCAGGGAGGAAGAGGACTTGTAAGTTCCAGTAGAACCCCACACACCAGGCCATCTGCACAACCCAGACCACACACAACAACCACTGGGTGTTTTCCCCCAACAGGATACTTACATAACCCAGATGGGGCATTCCAGCCCCTACTGGGGGACAAGTTGGATGCAGGACTGACTCAAGGCCCCTGGTTCCCCTTTTATCATTTTAGCACCACACCCCCCCAAAACGGGGTATTTTACAAGCCAAAGACACCTGTGGTCATCAGGATCAACCAGGGGATCAAGGCCCCAATCACTATTGAGGCAGCCCCACAGAGAGGAGCTGAGGGCCCCCCACTTAACTAGTCACAGCTGAGGAACAGAGCCCCCAAGGGCTTTGGGTACAAGGCCTGGCCTAGCCATAGCTCCAGGGCAATAGTTCTATATATATGCACTTGTAACTAAACACCATGTGGCCACAGGGCTCACCCTAACAGCACAGAGCTTCTCTTAAAGTGTATTATATAGGCTGCAGCTCAGACCCCCAAATCAGGTTGGGGGCTACAGGAGCCATTAGGATTACCTGTTGAATAAAAATGGCACCTTTATAAGGTGCCATTGGAGATGCAAAGGCATGGAGAGAAGCTACCACCCCTTATAAAAGAGCCCAGGGCCCCCACCCACCCCTCAACATGGGCAGGGCAACCCTATAACAACTGCAATAAGGCTATATAGCTTAAACACACTTTTCCAGGGGCAGTGGAACAACCCTGGAATACACAGCAACAGGAGACAGCCATGAGCTGGCTGGGGGCAAGCCCCAGCATCAGCCCACACATGTGCCCTCCCTCTTGTGAAGGCAGCAGCACCAACCGCACAGGTAGAGCAAGGCTCAGCCACACCCCATGGATGGCCAGACTCTCAAGGCAATTGGGCATGAAGTTAGCCCCAGCACCTGTGGGCATTTGCCTGCCATGCCCCACCCCACTATGTTGACTTTGAACCACTCATCCAAGCTATAGCCCTCACAGCAGGAAAGATGCCACCCCAGGGGCCCTTAGTAACAGTACTCAACCAGCACATGCCATCTTGGGGGCTTAGCACTTCCACCTATTTACCAAACAGCCAACTGCTTGGGTAACAGCCTTTGGCAGTTCAGGCACTGCCCACCCAACTCAGGAAGGCTACAAACCTCAGTGATGGGGCACTGACCCCATCAGGCAAAAGTCACTATGAGCTGGGTCTCCACCTGCCCACCAGGGGCACCCCAACTACAGGGCCCAGCAGGAGGGCTCCACTCCAGAACTAACCCCACAGAACATAAATACCAGCTCCTGGTGGCAAACAGCACCATGTGGGGACATGGGTACTACTGCCAACACCCAGAACACTATCTCTGACACTTTCAGGCAATCCAGGGACAGCTAACTCTAGGTCCCAATGGGCCACCACCCATTACTAACCTTGGCTGGATATACTATAATGGACCCCCATGGGGCTATGGTGGCCTGGGCACTGCCCAGGGGCAGGTACTCTAGAGGCCCCACCAGGCCCACCAGGCCTCTTACACACTGCAGTTGGGCACCATGGCTCACCATTTCTCTAGCATCTCCTCCAGCAACACCACACAAAGGCTGCTGCAGCCCCAAAAGCCCAGGTGGCTCAAAGCACTGGCTCTTTGCAAAGTAAATGCTTCAAGGTAGCAGGATACCCCACTGAGGGAACCAAGGCAGTATTCACAAGGCTATA